CTCGCCCAGCTGGGGGCTGGTCCTGCCCACCTCCCCCTCAGGGCTCCCCGTGGAGCAGCGCTGGTGAGGGGCTGGGGGGCTGGGACTGGGCCCCACTCACCTGGAGACGGTGAAGAGACCAAAGACCAGGGGGTTCTGGGGGTCCCGGGTGCGCAGGAGGAAAACATCCTCTGCAGAGAGAGGGGTGGAGGTGAGGCTCCCGGGAGCTGCAGCATTGGTCCGGGGGATGCAGGTGGCCACCCCTGGCCAGCCATCCCTGTGGCGCAGGGGACAGAGCAGCCGTGACGGAGCAGCCTTGCTCCTGCTGCCGGGGGGCACCATGCACTCACCCAGCTGGTCGAAGTGGGTCTCGGTGCCCTGGGGCCCAGGGATGGAGCACACCAGGCGTGCCTTGAGGAAGGTGCTCCAGCGGTTGATGAGTCCGCGCTTCCCTCCCACGTCATTCTGCCGGGCACCGAGAGCCAGGCTCAGCCCAGGCAGTGGGACAGCCCCAGCCCTCTGCTCTGTGCTGGGGGCTGCTGACACCCCCACACCTCCTGCTGGCCCCTGCTTGGGATGCCCCGTGGCCCAGAGGAGGCAAAAGCCCACCCCATGGGACACCCGGCCATGGCATGGTGGCCTTTCATAAAGATCATAGAATCACACAATGGTTTGGGTTGGAAGGGACCTTAAAGACCACCGAGTTCCACTCCCCCTGCCATGGACAGGGACACTTTGGTGACTGACCTTGCAGACCCGGGCTACCCTGGCGTGGATGTGCCGCCTCTCCCACTGCCCGGCTTCCATGGCTGTCTCGCGGAAGAAGATGTAGACCTTGTCATCGTGTGGGTTGTAGGTATCAGGGATGGCATAGGCACCGACAAACGCGGGCTCTGGGGGTAAAAGGAGCAGCACAACATGGCCCCATGCCCTGATCCAACCCAGAACTGCTTCCCCTCAGAGAGGAGAAGGGGGACCCAGTGCTTTTTCCCCTCCCCCGGAGAAGCGCCGTGCCCCCCTGTCCCCCGAGTCCCCCCGTCCCTACCGTGTAGCCAGTGGTCCTGGTTCTGCTCCGTGCGGATGTAGCTCTGCTCAGCCCCATGGACCCAGGTGCGGAAGAAGGCAGCGCTGCTGCCCATGAAGTCGCTGGAGGTGCCTGAGTACAGCTCCCCGTCTGTGGGGTCAGAGGGGGCTGGGTGTGTTGGGGTGCTGCTGCTGGAGGTACCCCAGCAGGACGCCCCTGGGTCAC